GAGAAGAATACTGTACTAGGTGGAAAAATAAGTGTTGGGTGTTTTTTTTTTTTACTCTTTTCTACATTTTTTTTTTTTTGCAACTCTTTGAAAATATATTTTGAACACAAATAACTCCCCCTCCCTTTGCATCCTTCCCTGCCTGCGGGCAAAGCAAATCTTGGAAATGTGGAAGCTATCCATACATAAAGTAAGTTTCAAATGAACCATAGAGCCTTCTTTTTTAAAAGAAAAACGAAACAAAAACAAAATTGGTCTTGGAAATGACAATCCTGGGAGATTTTTTTTTTTAGAGAGGTGTTATCTTCCAGTAGGCAAATAGTTTGGAAGACCAAGGCTCTCCAAACTGAAAATAAAATCCCTTGCTTGACTCATTCTTGGGGAGAGTCAGTTGGACCTAATTTTTTTCCTTGGAATTCTCCCGGCTTTGGGAGATCAATACCAAATAACAACAACAACAACAATACTAATAATGAAGTTGGAAGGGACCTTGGAGGTCATCCAGTCCAACGCCTAGCTCAGGCAGGAAACCCATACCATTTCAGACAAATGGCTGTCCAGTCTCTTCTTAAAAACATCCAGTGTTGGAGCATTCATGGCTTCTGGAGGCAGGTTGTTCCACTGGTTAATTGTTCTAACTGTCAGGAAGTTTCTTCTTAGTTCTAGGTTGCTTCTCTCCTTGATGAGTTTCCATCCGTTGCTTCTTGTCCTGCCTTCAGGCGCTTTGGAGAATAGCTTGACTCCCTCTTCTTTGGGGCAGCCCCTGAGATATTGGACACTGCTATCATGTCCCCCCTCATCCTTCTCTTCATTAAACTAGACAGACCCAATTCCATCAACCGTTCCGTGTACATTTTAGCCTCCAGTCCAGAAGAAGGAATCAGATTTTTGGGGCCAATGTTTTACCTTGCATTGTAAGAGTTCATAAATATTTGCAAAGATTATGATAGGAGCTGACCTACAATCAAACTCGGAGAATCCTAACTAAAAATATATACAACAGAGTTGAGGTATATTCCTGATTCCTGACTGGATCTTTGATCTTTAACTTCCAGGCATTAGTGAAGGTTCTCCATATACAGGTAGTCCATTTAGTGACCTCTCAAAGCACTGAAAAAAGTGACCTACGACCATTTTTCGCACTTAACGACCATTGCAACCTCCCCATGGACAGCGTGATTAAAATAAACTCCAATAAGTTGCGTTCATCAAAGAACACAAGTTTCAAAGTCTATAACTGTTTATCTACGCCTTCAAAATAAAAGATTTTTTTTTTTAAGCAAATTCCCCTCCCTCTTAACAATTACAGGAGTTCTCTAAAACAAGAATATCCAGAGAGACCGTTTTTAAACTCTATATATCTTGTTGTTCTATTTAGATCAACAATCCAGGTGGGTCTTCCCACACTGATCAAAATAGAGAGAGTGAGTTTGCACGAATCTCATATATGTCAACATCATCACGAGCGCCATGACTGTGGTGAAATTAATAACTCCTGTGGCTTTGGGGATAAGGAGAGGGAGGGAGGATACATAATTGGGTTTTCCAGTTAACTTTTATTGCAAAAGTTGGACTCCTATGAGATAAATCAACCATTTCTAAATTACTGGTCAGAATTCAGTGCTGGAGATTATCAGCCAGGAAGGAAGGAAGATGAGAGAGAGGAAGATGGGAAGGAAGGAAGGAAGGAAGGAAGGAAGGAAGGAAAGAAGGAAGGAAGGAAGGAAGGAAGGAAGGAAGGAAGGAAGGAAGGAAGGAAGGAAGGAAGGACAGTGAGAGGGAGGGAGATAGGGGAGGAAGGAAGGAAGGAAGAAAGGAAGGAAGGAAGGAAGGAAATGATGGATGGGAAGGAGGGAGGGAGGAAGGAAATGGATAAATGGATGGATGGATGGATGGATGGAAAGAAGGGAGAGAAGGAAGAAAGGTTGGATGGATGGATGGATGGGAGGGAGGGACGGAGAAAGAAGAAAGGAGTTGATGGATGGATGAATGGATGGAAGGGCGTGAAGGAAGGAAAGATGGATGGGAGGGAAGAAGGGAGGGAGGGAGGGAGGAAGGAAGGAATCAGTCTTAAAAATTGGAATAAGCCCAGTTCAAATCCTTGGAAAAAGGCAGCCCATCATATCCCTGAATTGTATCCGGTTCTTTCGAAGCCAATTGAGCGAGGTGTTTCGAATTGCTTTGAAGGCTGACTTTGAATCACTGAACTCCCCCCCCCCCATTGAATCTCTGCATTTCTGCCAGGGCAGGAACACAAGCAGCCTCCTTGCCGTGATTCAGTAGATGGAATGTTGCGAGGGCAGGCATTTAAGAGGGATGCTCTTTCCTCCCATCTCAAGGCTTGTGAAGTGTGAAGAAGAACGATGAAAAGTGGAGACTGGTTCAAGAGCGATGCAAATCATAGAGTGCTAGGGCTGGAAGGGGCCTTGGAGGTCTCCTAGTCCAACCCCCTGCCTATGTCAGGAGTCCTCATACCCTCCTGGATAAATGGTGGTCCAATCTTCTCTTGAAGACCTCCGGTGATGGAGCACCCCACAACTTCTGGAATAACAGAATAGCAGAGTTGGAAGGGACCTTGGAGATCTTCTAGTTCAACCCCCAGCTCAAGCAGGAGACCCTATATTATTTCAGACAAATGGCTGTCCAGTCTCTTCTTAAAAACCTCCAGTGTTGGAACATTCACAACTTCTGGAGGCAAGTTCTTCCACTGGTTGATTGTTCTCACCGTCATGAAATTTCTCCTTAGTTCCAGGTTGCTTCTCTCCTTGATTAGTTTCCATCCATGGCTTCTTGTCCTGCCTTCCTTCAGGGGCTTTGGAGAAGAGATTGACCCCCTCTTCTTCCAAAGCCACCTGAGGGCAAGACCAGAAGCAATGGAAGGAAGCCATTCCATTGACTTATCCTTCTCCTTGTCACCAAATATCCTCCTTATTTCCAGGTCAGATCAGCTTCTGAGGAGCTTCCCACACGTTGCTTCTTGTCTTCCTTCCGGTGGGATGGAGAATAAATTAGCACCTTCTTCCCTGTGACAGCCCTTCCTGTACTGACAGAGTCCTTCAACTATTAGTAATGCTGCTAAGTAACTCCATAGATTTAGAGTCCCGTATTTGTTCTTCAGAGGTGTCATATCTATGGACGTCACGGCTTGACTTGAGAAGGGGAAGCAGCGTGGAAATGGCTTTTAAAAAATGACAAGACTCATTTTTTGTGAAGAAGCAGTAAATGGTCCCTTGAAAACAAGGCCATTTACTGCCCTTGTTGAGGGCATCCATTAGAACGACAAGGTGGGCCCCCTCGGTCAGTTTAACCTCAAAAGTGTGAGCATTAATGGAAAATTCATACACACACACACACAAATGCGTAGATTAGGTGGGGTTTTTTTTTAAAAAAAAATGTCAACATTAAGGAAATTTACCGAAGCGGGAAGAAAGGAGCACATTTCGCCAAACGAACGCCAAATATTTGGTTGGTTTTTCTTCTTTTTTTATCAATATTTTATTAATTTTCTATTTTTTACAAACAAGCGCTTAACAGACAACGTGTTGACCGGGTCCCTTAGTAATTCCGTGGTACATGTAAGCTTCTTCAAACTAAATCCGATATTACACCATCTGATACATTTGTGTACAAGGAATCCTTGACTTAACGGCCACAATTGAGCCCCAGATTTATGTCGCTAAGCAAGACCATTATTAAGTGCAGTGCAGTTGCTAAGCTAGGAACACCATTGTTAAGTGGATCTGGCTTCCCCGTTGATTTTGCTGGTCAGAAGGTCACAAAAGGGAATCCCATGGCCCCTCTGGACACTGCAGCCATCATAAATATGAGTCGCTTGCTGAAGTGGCTGAATTTTGATTATGCAGGTGTGAGGAAGCTGCAATGTTCCTAAGTGAAAATCTGTCATAACTCCCTTTTTTCAGGGCTGTTGTGACTTTGAATGGTCATTAAATGAATGGTTGTAAGTCAAGGACGACCTGTCATTGACAACTTCCCCCTCAGTCAATTGCAGAAGGCAGCTTTCCTCTTGAGTGGCTGGCATCCTGCCCCGACATCAAATATCCCTGTCTGTCTATACCAGGTCTTGGGGAAAGACTCGACAGGCGGGCAAAAACTCCAAATCCAGTGTGAACATTTGCCTGACTGTGCGACAGGCCGTAATAACAATAATCTTTGCAAAATGTTGTAAGTGCGTTAAAAAAATATGCATGGAAATGAGAGTAAACTCACGAGTTTTGGGGGCAAGGTTGCCTTTTTTAAAAAAAAATGGCAGAATTGGGCCAAAACAGTTTCAGGGTATGTAAACAGGAGAGGGTAGGAAAACAACCACGGTAGCCACCTTATGCTGTATTGCTCTTTTTCAGAACTGTGTGTTTGTTTAGTGTGAAAGGGAAAGTGCGGGTCTGCTTCTAAGGGGTTTTAGGTTGTCTTCTCCTCCTCCTTCAAGGAGAAAAATGAATGTAGGAGGACTTGCTAAAGATCTTCAAAGCACACAGAGATATTCTGACTAAAATCCGTAAACCTTGTCTTCGTACAATCTTCATAGGATAAACCAGTTTTTCCCAATAAACCAGGATTTGATGATAACTAAGGGATGGGAAGATCCCCCTCCAAATGCTAAGTGGCTGTCTTAAAGACCAAAAGCCATCTCTGGATTGAGCAAACAAACATCTGGATGGACTAGTCCAGGGGTGTCCACCCTTGGCAACTTTTAAGAGTTGTGGACTTCAACTTCCAGAATTCCCCAGTTGAAGTCCACAAGTCTTAAACGTTGCCAAGGTGTGGACACCCCTGGTCTAGGGGTCTTCAACAATGATCTTTCCTCAGCAGCTGTTAAGGAACGTGCAAACACGGAGCCAAAAATGAGGTCTTGGAAGCTCCAGACCTATATATTTTGGGGTGTGACTTGGGCAAGGGTTGGTACCTTCTTAAATTTTACCATAGAGTTGTCCTCCTCCTTTTTGGGGCAACATTTTTAAGGTCATCTCTTCTTTCTTCTCCAGGAGCAAAGTCCCAGCAACCAGACTTCCATAGCCATGATGCAAGAGCCTCAAGAGATGGTGGAGGAGACCGTGACCGTCGAAGAAGATCCTGGCACCCCCACATCTCATGTTTCTATTGTGACTTCAGAAGACGGGACCACCAGGAGGACGGAGACGAAGGTAGGAAGGGAGGGTTGCAACCTTGTCAGAATTGAGGCTCAGAGTGACTTCCAGCGGGCAACCATGGTCTACAACAGATTTAACTCAACTTCTGAAATAACCTCTGGAAGAGAATGTTTGTAGCTTCAGGGTTGAAATGTGGGGTCTTGCTGCTCACAATCAACCTCAGAGGGCACCAAGCACCCCACAGAATTAACCTTTAGTAAGGAGGACATGGTGCAGTCTACTCTGTGAATACTGTTTGTATATACGATGTATTCAGAAAGTATCCAGACAACAAAGCAACAACAACAACAACGATGATGATGATGATGTAGTACAGACATGTCAAACACAAGGCTCGGGGGCCGGATGCGGCCCGCGAAATGGTTTCATGTGGCCCACAAAGCCATCCTGGAAACAGTGAGGGAATGGCCCCCACTGCCTTGGCCCTGGCCCAGGCCAGCCGGGAGCCAATGTTCAATTTTGTGGTGGCCATCTATGCTGAAACCATTCAGCTCCATAAGCCCCCCTCCCACCCCCATGGCCTGAGGAACAGTGAGGCTCCTGCAGTGGACCATGCCTTGGCCCTTACCCTGGTCCCACCCCCTTCTGCCAGAGACCCTCAGATCTGTCCCACTCCTGCCCAAGCCCCCACAGGCACCCTTGACGCGAACGATGTAGAGCTGGCCATGTCCACCTAGTAGGCCACACCACTCCATCCACACCCACCCAGTAGGCCACACCCACCCTGGCCACATCCACCCGGCCCCCTGAGGGCAACCGCAATGCTGAGGCGGCCCTCAATGTAATTGAGTTTGACACCCCTGATGTAGTACCAATAGTAATAGGCGCCTTGGGTGCAATCCCAAAACAACTGCAGCACCACTTGGACACCTTGATTGGCATTGACAAATTCGCCATCAGTCAATTGCAAAAGGCGGCCATTTTTCAGTCGTTTTTTTTCAGTGCCATTGCACCTTCAAATGATCATTAAACAAATAGTTATAAGTTGAAGAAGACGACCTGTCTAGCAATAATGGTTCCTCCTAGAATTTGAAGGAGGGGTGAGGGTTTGTGAGTGGGGCCAGCATGCAAATTAGTTGAGGTTTTGTCTCGTGACTGGCAGTCAGGACGTTCTCTTCACTCAAGCTTTGATATTTTCCATCCCTTTTATTATTCTTTCACACTGAAGTGAAATTTAAGGTTGAAGTTCAACGTCCATGTTTTTCTTTGGCTTGTTTTCAGCAACTGGGCAGAAATCAACCCCATAGGCCAGTGGTGGCGAACCTATGGCATGCGTGCCAGAGGCAGCACTTAGAGCCCTCTCTGTGGGCATGCGAGCCATGCCCCACAGTTGGCAACCGTCCCTCTTCAACCAGCCACCCGCTAACTCACCGAGGTCCCACATGGTCGGATGCATCCCAGCACCCATGACCTCGCGGGCCTCTGTGTGCAGGGGCCAATGGTGTCAGGCAGCAGCTGCCTTGGCCCCTGCCTCACCTTGCCCTGAGACAATGGCACCCCCACCCTGCCTCGCCTTGCCTTGCCTCACCTTGCAGGATGAGCCTCCTGCCCACTGGTCCACCTGCCAGAGACCCCCTGGATCTCCCCCAACCCTGCCTGGCCCCCACAGGCCCCCACGAACAACATCAAGGTGATCATGCCCTCTTTGGCCACACCCACCCAATCTGCCATGACCACCACAGCCATGCCCACCCACTGGACCACGCCCACCTGGCACCCGGCGATAAATAAGTGGGCTTTGGGTTGCAGTTTGGGTACTAGGTCTCTAAAAGGTTCGCCATCACTGCCATAGGCTGGTTCCCTTCTCCTGGTGTCTGGCCTTGAAGTTTAAATTAGTCTAAATTGCTACTTCTGATTTTGGGGGGGGGGGAAGATTGCGAACAAAATCACTAAAAGCCGCAAATAAATTACCTGAATGTTTAGTGGAGAACGGAAGCATTTTCTCAGCGTGATCAAAGCGCCAGTCTCTCCAGAAGCTGGTGGGAGACCGTGGTAAACAGGTGAAGGAATAAATCAGAAAAGGAGGGGGGAAAAGGTTGCTGGATAAACACTGTCTGGCTGTGGAGCAGATGTTCTCCAACGGAAGTTTATTTTAGACGCTGTTGACGCATTTTTGAACGTGTTTATTTTGCGTTGGGGCCACGAAGCAAATAAAGTGAGGAAGAGGTGGGGTGGCAGACCCCTGGGAGTGGAGTGGAAGGATGGAGGGGGAAGAAGACACAGAGGAGAAGATGCAGAGGAGGTCTTATTCCTTCATGAGGTGGGGAGAAAGGTCTGCAGGCTCTACAACAGGACGACAGAGAGGACAAAATGGGGACACTCGAGTAAATGCTTGAGGTGTTGAGGTTGACGGGGATGTTTTGCATCAAACCTCTCAGAATGAGGAGGTTGAGGACCTGGGAACAAGCCCACTTACTAGCAGCCCATCTCTTGGGAATAGGTTCTCCTCCCAACATCTGGAGGGCCAGTTTGGTTTAGTGAGCTAGCTTGGTCTAGAGCAGGGATGTCAAACTGCATCACGCAAAAGCCGCGCCCACCCCAGCTCCGGCAATGGGGAAAAAGTCACCATATGTCGCGACACATCCCGTGACGCAGCAAGTTTGACACTCCTGGACTAGAGGTTAAGGCACCAGGCTAGAAAGCGAGAGAGTTCTAGTCCATCTTAGCGATGAGAGCTAGTTGGGTGATTTTGGGCTGATCACCAGGAGATGGTGAGTTCTAGTTATGCCTTAGGCATGAAAACCAAGTGGATGGCTTTAGGTCAGTCACCAGGTGAGCTTTAGTTTAGCCATGAAAGCCAACTGGGTGACTTAGGGCCAATCACCAGGAGACGGTGAGTTCTAGTTCCTCCTTAGGCATGAAAACCAACTGGGTGACTTTGGGCCAGTCACCAGGAGACGGTGACTTCTAGTCCCTCCTTAAGCCTGAAAGCCAGCTGGATGACTTGGGCCAATCGCCAGGAGATGGTGAGTTCTAGTCCCACCTGGCTAGATGACTTTGGGCTGAATTCTAGTCCCGCCGTAGGCAGGAAAGCCGGCTGGGTGACTTTACGCCACTCGCCAGAAGACGGTGAGTTCTAGTCCCACTTTAGCCCAGAAAGCCATCTGGGTGATCTTGGGCCCGTCATTCTTTCACTCACTCATGTGACCATGAGGATGCTGCAACGGTTGTGTGATGACAGGTCCTTAGTCACTTTCTCAGTACTGTTGTAACTTTGAACCGTCACTAAACAAATGGTTATAAATCGAGGAGCACCTACAGGGAGACAATCTGTGCCCTTGTGGGTTTCCCCCCCCCCCCAAATTTTTAAGGACCTGGCTCGCCAAGCCGAAGAAGAAGGCGCCTTCGAAAGAAAAACATGGCACTTGCCTTAACAAAATCGCCGTGTTTTGTGCAGTGACGTAGTTTCACCCTGTTGGATTCTTTGTCAGAAGGTCTGTTGACAGCTCCCAGCTTTGAAGTCTTTCATAAGGGATTAGAGACCTCTGCAGATGACAGACCCAGGATGACAGCCTGCTGTGATAACTACATATTCCATCCAAGATTAAACGAACCTCTGGATTGAAGACCAAAAAGAGAAAGCCATTCCCCCATTTGGAGATTCTGATGAGACAAATTCTTCTCCCTCCCTCCCTCCCTCCCTCTCTCTCTCTGTCTCTCTCTCTCTCCCTCCCTCCCCTCCCTCTCTATCTCTTTCTCTCCCCCCCCCGTGTGTGTGTGTGTGTGTGTGTGTGTGTGTGTGTGTGTATTTTGAATCTCTGTCTGGAAAAGTTCTCATACTTGCATTCATGAAGCATCGCTGAGGTTGGACAAGACCAAAATAATATAATAATATTATATTGGAAGGAACCTTGGAGGTCATCTAGTCCAAGCCCCTGCTCAGGCAGGAAACCCTATACCATTTCAGACAAATGGCTGTCCAGTCTCTTCTTAAAAACTTCCAGTGTTGGAGCATTCACCGCTTCTGGAGGCAGGTTGTTCCACTGGTTAATTGTTCTCACTGTCAGGAAGTTTCTCCTTAGTTTCAGGTTGCTTCTCTCCTTGCTTAGTTTCCACCCGTTGCTTTTTGTCCTGCCTTCAGGCGCTTTGGAAAATAGCTTGACTCCCTTTTCTTTGGGGCAGCCCCTGAGATACTGGAACACTGCTATCATGTCCCTCCTCGTCCTTCTCTTCATTAAACTAGACATCCCCAATTCCAGCAATTCCAGCAAATAGAGATTGGTCTTGGAGGAACTGGAAAGTTAGAGTGAATATTTGGCAGCTGTGTGCCTCTGTGTTTTCATCTTAACATCAGAAATGGGATGGAAGGAAGGTGTTGTTTTTGAATGGGTTAGTTAGAGAAATGAAATTTTTCCAGTTCTACGAAAGTTGGTGAAAGTCGACAGTCTGAAAAAAATTGACTTGTGACCATTTTCCCAGTCATTCCAGCTTCCCCCATGGTCACGTGATTAAAACCCAGGTGCTTGGCAATGGGGCACGTATTTACAAGGGTTGAAGCATCCCGGGTCCAAGGAATCGCCATCTGTGACCTTCCCAGATGGCAAAGTCAATGTTGGGAAGCCAGAGTTAATGAAGATACGATTCGTTTAACAACTACAAGGATTGATTTAACGATGGTGGCAAAATCGGTTTTGAAACTGGATGCAACCTATTGAACAACCACTGCACTTTAGCCATGGAAAGTCTGCTCCCGATCGTTTGATCAGGCTAGATCTTGAGCTAAATGAAAAGATAAATCCAGAACAGCAAATCATTGTGAACGCAAAGAATGACAAAGCGAGAGACTTAATACTTTAATACCCGGGCAGCTTTTATTTCTCTTTTCTTGTATTTCTCCTTTAGTGTTCACAAACAACAATGCGGTGGAGACTTTTTAAGATTAAGCTCAAGGATTTGCTCTCTTTTATTTCTTTTCCTATTACAAAATCATTTCAGGTGCTTTACCCAGTGTTATATATTCAGCTTTATCTATACAATTTCAGCCACTCTCTGTCCATTTATATCTCTGAATCATACATATTAACACTGATATACATTTTCTATTTTGAGTGTCCTCTCATCATGATGGTGCTAATTGCTTCCAGTTCCTGTTGTGTAAATAGCACAGAACGTGGCTATTATTTGTGTTTTATAATGTAATAATGAGAGAGAGAGAGAGGGAGGGAGGGAGAGAGAGAGAGAGAGAGAGAGAGAGAGAGAGAGAGAGAGAGAGAGAGAGAGAGAGCGCTAAGGAGAAGACGTTACTAAGCCTTGTGCTTCAGATGAATAGCAGACACCTCTTTTGTGTGCTATCTGTTAGATAAAACCAGACTGGCACATGGATGATAGGCAATGCCCAGAATAGCTGTGCAATTGATAAGAAGCATGTTTACAGTCACAATTATCAAAACTGCAATGGATACAGTGCTGTTATCTTTCCCCAATAAAATGACAGGGAAGCCTTGTTTGATGAGAGCAAGCATCCTATTTAAGGAGAGACCATAGTTCCCACTAAATACATTGCTTGCGTGCAAATTTTTGACTCCTGCTTCCACTCAACCATACAAGTAGAGTTGACTTAGGGAGTTAGAGAGTTGGAGGTCCTGGGGTAGGTGGTCCATTTGGTTAGCGGTTGGCTTTGCGAACTCAGAAAGCGAGTTAATCTAATAATCAAGCTAGTAGTAGGTGCCCAGCCTTCCTTTGATACAATGGAAGAGACAGTCACAACTCTTTTTCTGGAATGTCCCAAAGGGGCTTTAGTCACAAGGCAACTGGACTTCCTGATTTATCTTTTCCTCTTTCTTTCTTTTTTTCTTTCTTTTTCTTTTTCTCTCTCTCTTTCTCTTTCCTTTCTTCCTTCCTTTCTCTCTCTTTTCCTCTTTTTTCTTTCTTCCTTCCTTCCTTTCTCTCTTTTCTTCTTTTTTCTTTCTTTCTTCCCTTCCTTCCTTCCCTTCCATCTTGTCCTTCCTTTCTTCCTTCCTTTCATCCTTCTTTCTTTTCTTTCTTTCTTTTTCCTTCCCATTTCTGAATTGCCCAGGTCCCTTAAAGAGGGACTCTAGCCAGCCTACAATAAATAAAGGAATTCAAGATAAACCAATCCTCTCAAGGTTTGTCGACATTCCTTACACCGGGAATTTGCCAGTTCCCTGTAAGTCACCCATGTTTGGCTTTAATGGGAGAATTGAAGGTATGCCTGTTTTGTCATAGCTGGTACCCAGGAGTTGCATGTGCAATTTATTGAATGCTGTTTTTACATCTGTAACTCTACCCAGGTAGCTTTCAACCCTAATTTAGAGCCATCCCTCCTTCATTTTTGCGGTAGCTATTAGGAGGCAAACAGGCTAATATCTTAAACCCACAAAGGTGACCTTGCTTGGGATGTGCAGGTTGTTTAAGTTTCCCAGCAGATGAGCACTGCGGCAGATTAAAGCCAGCTCGTGTCCCGTGAATGTGTTTGAAACCTCCAGGATTTCTGAGCATAATTTTTTTTAAAAAGTCTCTTTGTACCTCTTCTAGTCTCTGTCCCTTGGCTTCGTATCACGGCCCAACTTTTGCTCCAACGAAGTTCCTGTCTTTCTCAGAAAGGCGACAGTTGTTTTGCAAGTGGTGATTGTCCTCCACAAAAGGGGCTCGCGCGATCCCCCAGGACACTGCAGCCGTCATAAATATGGACCGGTTTTCAAGCATCCGAATCGCATGACCGTGGGGATGCTTACAAGGGTCGTAAGTGTGAAAAATAGTCATAGGTCATTTTTTTCCAGTGCCGTTGTAACTTTGGATGGTCGTTAAATGAACGGTTGTAAATCGAGGATTACCTGTAGAGTCATCCTATGTGCTCAGTCCGGGAAAACAAGACAGTGTGACAGGGAGTGATAGAGCATTGATGATGTTGCCTAGTTGGGTAATGGAACATCTGCAAGAAAGCAACAGATCTCAGAGAGCATTAAGAACCTCCTCCTCCTCCTCCTCCTCCTCCTTTCTGCAAACCCCAGTCCCTTCTAGCATTGATGATGTAACATAGTTGGGTAATGAAACATCTACAAGAAAACAACCGAGCTCAGAGAGCATTAAGGACCCCACAGTTGTCGTCCTCCTCCTCCAATCTGCAAACCCCAGCCCCTTCTAGCATTGATGATATAACATAGTTGGCTAATGAAACATCTGCAAAAAAACAACCGAGAGAGGGCCCCCAGAATCCCCCTCCCCTCCCTCCCTCTTCTTCCTCCTCCTCCCCCTTCCAATCTGATGATGTAAGCTTGTTGGGTAATGAAACATCTGCAAGAAAACACAGAGTACCAGGACCTCATGGAAATTATCTTGGCTTCCTCCAGCCGTTTTTGAAAAGCAAAAGACTTTTTTAATTAAAGCGGCCGTCGGGGGAGGGTTACCTGAGCTTCCCATTTCATCAGCCTCCAGAGGACACCCGTTTTTTACAACCTTCTGCTAATGAGATAATGGCTTGTCTCTCTTTGGCCTAATAATTTTACAGCCGAGCTGTCCCAAAAAAAAATAAGCCTTTGGAAATGTCAAGATGCTTTTATCCTTCAGTGCTTCCGCCTTCCCCACTTGGTGTTTTATGACACGAGTCTGATAAAGGGTATTTTTGACAGCTTCCATCAATGAAGGGTTATGTTGGATGAAGCGGGCCGAGGTCAGGACCCTGGACAGGGCAATATCGGCTGAGAATTGTTGTCTCAGCCAAGTTGAGGAGACTTTTAAGGTTGTCGGAAAGACTAACTCAGTTGTCTTTGCTCTCTTTCACCTTAGGAATTGTCAGACTGAAAATTGTTTCAGGAGGTCCCTTAGCTCTTAAAAGAAAGTAAAGTTGGAAACACAAGTGACCTACTACACGTAGTTCTCCTGGTGATTGGCTCAAGGTCACTCAGCTAGCTTTCATGCCTAAGGCAGGACTAGAACTCACAGTCTCCTGGTGATTGGCCCAGAGTTACTCAGCTGGCTTTCATGTCTAAGGCGGGACTAGAACTCACAATCTCCTGGTGATTGGCCCAGAGTTACCCAGCTGGCTTTCATGTCTAAAGTGGGACTAGAACTCACAGTCTCCTGATGATTGGCCCAGAGTTACCCAGCTGGCTTTCATGTCTAAGGTGGGACTACAACTCACATTCTCCTGCTTTCTAGCTTGGTGCCTTAATCACTACTAGACCAAACTGGCTCCGTAGACAAAACTTAACCACTAGAGACTAGACCCATTTTAGCTAATCTGGTGTTGGTCTCTCCATTTTTAATCAGTTATTGCAGGTCAAAATATCTTCATTTTCCTGCCTTCAACCTCTTTCATAATTTCTAAAACATGGTGCATGCTGAATGCAGATTTCCCATTGTTACAGATGTCTGATGGATATCGGCTTCAAGTGTAGAGGAACTTTCTGGAACCACATATTGATCAGCCAAAGTGTCTTGAAACTTTATTTTAAGCATTCCGTCCCACTTTTTTAAGATCATTGTCTTCTTCCTGTTCTTATTGATCTACCGATTTCTCCTTTGAATTAGCTTAAATGGCTTCGTTCTTCTCCTTTTGAGCAGATTTTATTTTTTAATGTCTCACCAACAAAAAAATGTATTTGTTGTTACTGCTGTGTGGGAATTACTGTCCAGCTCTGGTGGGAGGGTGAGATGTTTTGTTTCTGCGTAAATCTAAGCCAATCTCTGGTTGAGAAGAAGAATAAAGGCAGGGTGAAAAATGGGCACAAACAGATTTTTTTTTTCTGATTTGCTTATTTTCAAATGCATGCTGCCCATTGGAAGTTATAAATATTGCCCGTCAAGCTTTGGCTGTTCGAAACTTTGTGGGGTGTTGTTAACCCAGGCATACCAAACACCCACGGGTGTCAGACGTTCATGGAACATGCTGTGTTTACCCTGTTCTTTTGACAACATGTGTTTGTGTTATTAAAGGGTGGCTAGTGTCAATTCCACCCCCTTTGTTGAGCAAACGCCCGGATGGATCTTAAGCCAAGTGGCATGTTTATAGGGGTGGAAGATCATGAAGAGGAGGACTTTTTGTGCATAGCTTTGGAGCAAGATAATCTGTAGCTTCTCTTCTGTAAAGGAAAGTTGTGTTTCGTGAACTTTCCTAGTAAGGTCAAAGGATCTTCGGTCTGTGACAACTCCAGAATGAAAAGAAGAGCCTTCAGAACAGAGCTGACTCTGGATTCAGTCTACGTTAACACCTGATTGGCTCTATCATGGTTCACAACAACAACAGCAGCAACAACAAAAATAATAAGTAGTAGTAGTAGTTGGAAGGGACCTTGGAGGTTATCTAGTCCAACCCCCTGCTCAGGCAGGAAACCCTATACCATTCTATTCTATTCTATTCTATTCTATTCTATTCTATTATATTATATTATATTATATTATATTATATTCTATTCCCTATTCTCTACTCTACTCTACTCTACTCTACTCTACTCTACTCTACTCTACTCTACTCTATTCTATTCTATTCTATTCTATTCTATTCTATTCTATTCTATTCTATTCTATTCCTGATCCATGGATGTCCACGATGGTGGGACAAGTGACATCCCAACACAGGTGGCATGAATTATGTCATTTCCATGATGATGTCACCTATGACATCATGACTACTACTAAACACCTATGATCTGATTGACTGGGGGGGATGAAGAGGATGCTGGTTGAGATAGGCGTAGCTCTTTGTCACAACCTCCTTGTGATGGATACCAACCGATGGCCAATGGCTCATCCTCTTACTCCTTGGGTTGGAAGGCATTGGTACAGAAGTGTGTGTGTGTGGGGGGGGTAAAATAATTTCCACTGCAGCCCACCAGAGTTCTGGAAATAAATAACGTCCATGTTCCTCTCTCTCTGCCTCGCAGGTAACCAAAATGGTCAAGACTGTCACGACTAGAACGGTGCGCCAAGTTCCCCTTGGTCCCGATGGCCTCCCTGCGATGGACGGGTCATCCCCTATGGGTAGTTACACCGACTCCATCGACAGAAGGCAAGTCAAGAACGGCGAGCGATACATCACCCCTCAGGCCTCGTCCACTTTGAACCGCTCTTACAACAGCTACAACGATTCCTATCCCGAGGGTCACGACGGCCAGTATCGTTCCTTCGTCAGCCACAATGGTTACGGTGACCTGCCAGACAATTACGGAAGCTTGTCCCGGAGTGTCAATTACCGCCCGCATTACGCCTACGCACCTGGGAACAATTACCGGCCCGAGGATGGGAGCTTCACTTTGCCAAGCAGGAGGGATAACTATGGACCGCTGGCCCAACCGCAGGTGCCAACGGGCAGTAATGCGGACTTGAACCGCTCCCAGCCGGAACGGTTCCAACCTGAGCCCTACGGGCTGGAGGACGATAACCGCAGCCTCGGAATTGACGACGAAGGTTATGAACTCGATCCAGAGTACTCGACGGTGAATCGGAGGACGTCGGCTGGGCTCCCCGAGAGAGGGAGACCCCACAAGGGAAGGTAAATGCAGGGTTAGATGGGGGGAGGTAGGCAGCTCGTTGCAGGACTCTTGTCCTGCAGGAGCAGTGGAGAGTCTGCTCGATTTGGACCTGCGGGGGCGCTTGAGGGCTGGTAGTGGAGAAGACCTCACCACAGTATTAGCCTTATTTATGGCACCTTCTCAGGAACGTTCCTCTTTATCTGGGTTCTTGGTTCCTCCTTGCTTTGAAAAAGTTGCGAGGGTTTGGGATGGCAATACAAAATAACAGAGTTGGAAGGACTTTGGAGGTCTTCTAGTCCAACCCCCTGCTCAGTAAACTTGATAAGTTATTATTAAGGAAGTATAATAATGCTGCAGTAGGGGTATCCCAGTAGATTAATCCAACTAGCCAGGTTTTTATATCCAAGGCCCAGAATTTAATCATGGAAGGTTGGTAACGTGCCATCTGTCTCACTCACCTGCCATTAAGCTCCTTTGCTCAAGGTTGGCTACAGTCCACAGAAGCAGATCGCAATAGGAGAGAATCTTTGAACTGTGGGGTTCTCTCTGAGCTGGGCTGTTTTGCTGCAGATATTTCATGACCCAGCTAGGGAACATCAGCACTTTAGAAGGGAGTGGGGTTTGTGGAAAGGGGGAAGGGGGGTGGAGGAGGCTCTTTGGGTTTGGTTGTTTTAGTGGTGAGGTAACATCACCAGGGCTAGAAGGGAGGGAGGTTGGAGGAGGAGGAGGAGGAGGAGGAGGAGGAGGAGGAGGAGGAGGAGGAGGAGGAGGAGGAGGAGGAGGTCGTCTGTGGGGTTCTTGGTGGTCTCTGAGTTTGGTTGTTTTGCTGGAGACGTTTAATTAGAATAGAATAGAATAGAATAGAATAGAATAGAATAGAATAGAATAGAATAGAATAGAATAGAATAAGAAATGGAAATGGAAATAGGAATAGAATGGAATAGAACAGAACAGAACAAAATAGAATAGAAACGGAAATAGAAATGGAATTAGAAATAGGAATGGAATGGAATAGAATAGAATAGAATAGAATAGAATAGAATAGAATAGAATAGAATAGAATAGAATAGAATAGAATAGAATAGTTGGAAGGGACCTTGGATGTCTTCTAGTCCTACTCAGGCAGGAAACCCTATACCATTTCAGACAAATGGTTGTCTAATCTCTTCTTAAAAACCTCTAGTGTTGGAGTGTTCACAACTTCTGGAGGCAAGTCGTTCCATTTTAGTCCCAAAGAACAAAGAGATGAAGGACTTAAAATAGGACCGACCATCCATCCATCCATTAATTGATTCTCAGTCTTCTCTTGTCTTTGCATTGGGCTGGTTTGACGACTGAAGCTCAGATTTTGTCCCGTAGACCTCAAAAGCTGGAGGAGCCAACTTGATCAACTCCTTATTCTCCTCAGCTACCCACATGGGATCTTGTTTGCGTGATATACTGCCCGTTTCTGCTAACTTCTGACAATATCCATTAGCCGAGACCATCCACTGTCAAGATATCCCTCGCTTTTGCTACAATCACCCAGACATCCGTTTCTCCACTTAGTGACACGTTTGGCTGATTTACTGTCGCTTTTTCTCTTCTCCCCCTTTTCTGCTTTCTGCCGAGGCTGAACGGAGGAAGAGTGAGTCCAGCAGCCTTCCTTCCATTTAAAAATGAGCGAAGGGATTGATTTTCAATAAGTCTTGAAAGGTTAATAATTCTGCCGATAAATGAAACTTGGCCCATAGATAAACAAATCCAGCTGGCAGAGGAAGGTTGAAAGTCGATTTTCATGAGAGAGTGCATTGACTTAACAATGATTCGTTTAGTGACCATTCAAAGTTGCAACGGCACTGAAAAAAGGGATGTCAGAGCATGCTAATACAGGATCCAACACACAGCAGTTACAGCAGGAAAACAGAAGAGAGAGAGAACGCATCTGCAGAGCCTTCCCTTTTTATACAAAGCTCTTAAAGAGACACAGACCCTGCTGTTTCATTCCCATCATTACCTCTTATATTACATTACATCAGTGGGTTAGCTTCTAAATCATTACCTTGACAAGTGACTTACGACCGTTTTCCACACTTAGCGACCATCGCAGCATCCTTGCGGTCACGTGATCGAAATTCAGACGCTTGGCCACTGACTCGTATTTATGACGGTTGCAGCATCTCCTGGGATTCCCCTTTTGCCTCTTTCTGGCGAGCAAAGTCAACGGGGGAAGCCGGTTCACTTAAGACCAGGTTGCTAACTTAAACAATTACAATGATGCACTTAACAAGTGTGGCCAAAAAAGCCGTTAAAATTGGACAGAACTCATTGAACAAATGTCTCACTTAGCAACAGAAATTTTGGGCTCAGTCGTGGTTGTAAGTTGAGGAACTATACCTGTATCCTAAGGGACCCTTTGCAACTCAAGGATTCCCATTCCTGATATCTTAATGAGCTGGATTTTGCCCAGGGCATCTCGTTTCCCCTGCTTATCCATCACAGAGTAATCCTTTTCTGATCAGTAATGAACTGGTTATAGCTGTGTTTCTTGTCCTAATTGCAGTTGCTGTTTTCCACCAGTCTCTAACCAACCAGGTAGCCAGTTCCTTCCACCATGCTCCCTTCCTCTCTCTCTGCTTTCCTCTTTGTTCTCACTGTTGACCCAGTTTCCGAACAAGCTCACATTTGAATATAGATCAGGAGGTGGGGAGAGGAAGGAAACGGTTCAGAAAGTTCCTGGAAATATAAATGAGTGCACGAAAGGAGATTTCTGTCTGCCTGCCTGGAAATTTATATGCCCAAACCAAGTTTGGTCCCGTGATAATTGCCCAAAGAAAGGCAGAGCTGCATCTGAGCAGAGATTCAAGAAAACGTTCCATATCTGGAATGGAAAACCCGAAGCATCGAAAAAACCTACACCAGAAGATAACAGAATAAAAGAGTTAGGAGGAGGAGGAGGAGAAGGAGAAGGAGGAGGAGAAAGGGACCTTGGAGGTCATCTAGTATAACCCCCTGCTCAGGTGGGAAACCTATACCATTTCAGACAAATGGCTGTCCAGTCTCTTCTTGGAAACCTCCAGAGATGGAGCTCCCACAACTTCTGGAGGCAAGCAGTTCCACTGGTTAATTGTTCTCACTGTTAGAAAATTTCTCCTTAGTTCCAGGTTGCTTCTCTCCTTGATGAGTTTCCATCCCTTGCTTCTTGTCCTGCCTTCAGGTGCTTTGGAGAATAGCTTGACTCCCTCTTCTTTGTGGCAACCCCTGAGATATTAGAACACAGTTATCATGTCCCCCTTGGTCCTTCTCTTCATTAAACTAGACAGACCCAATTCCAGCAACCGTTCCTTATATGTTTTAGCCTCCAGTCCCCTAATCATTTTTGTTGCTCTTCTCTGCACTCTTTCTAGAGTCTCAACATCTTTTTTATATCGTGGCCATCAAAACTGGATCACCTAGGAGGTAGTTTTCATTGAAGTCCCCAAGCCATACCCTTGCTGCGTCTGATCCTGGATGTGAAATATACATCCATCTTGATCAGTAGCCAGTGATTGTCCACGCCCTTCAGCCGTTCGTTGAAGCTTCCTTGGGCTATTCAAGTTGGCATGTGTCACTCGGTCTTCTCGAAGCAAATCCTGTTTTAATTATGTGTTGAGAGAAAAAGGCCATAATCTTCTACTTGTCGTAAAGACGGAGCAGATGGCTTTGGACGGCCCACAGCGTGTGGTGGAAGCATTAAATCTCATCTGCAGCTGTTCCCCTGCAACTGGCATTGAGTGGTGTACTGCCTTTGAACCTGGCAGATCCATAATGGTCTCTCTTGGTTGATTCCCTTTGATAATGCTGTCTGCCATGGATGAAACTACTTCCCTGCTTTGCTTGCCTTCACATATCCTGCTAAGCCGTGGTTGAACGATTAAAGTTGGCTGAGGCCACACACAACATGCAAAGTCTTAAGCTGTTTCTAGACTTTGGCGTGCTAAGCCAAAGCATCAAGTGGCTTAATGTGATATGTAAACTCAGCCTCTGCCTTGGACAGTGGGATAAGGAAGCATTAGAATGAATTAACCGTGATGCGTGAAATATGACTATGATCACTGGAAGGATTAGAGTTTGGTGGTAAATCATAAGCAAAGAGGGAAAGAACTTTGGGGTCGACTACTGAAGAACTGTGTCTAAGTCATGGTAGACGAGACAAAAGTCTGGAGGGGGCTAAGCTAGGAGCCAATGTTCCTAAATTTAAAGAAATAAAAAGGGGCGTCTGTTAGGTGGGAATAATTTATTTTTCTTCTTGGTTCCAAGGGTAAGAAGATTGGATGGACCTGTCCCAAAAGTGCTTTTTTTTTTCACGAGGCAACTGGACTTTCTTGTTTTTCTTTGAAGACGTTTCGCTTCTCATCCACGAAGCTTCTTCAGCTCTGACTGGATGGTGGGGAATGGAAGGATTTGCATTCCTTGCAGACAGCTGGTCATTTGCATTCTTTTAGAGAGAGCCCTTGAGGCCACTTCAGTCTACAACACAATTCTTTCAACAGCTCCAAGAAGGCTCCACACCCATTTGCACCACTCAGGTGACCCTGAGGACACAGATAAGCCTCCAGGTAGCTTCAACGACTCTCTAAAAGAAGGCAAATGACCAACTGTCTGCACCACTTGATCACCATTGGCATTGACAAATTCGCCATTAGTCAATTGCAAAAGGCGGCCTTACTAGGAACTGCTTCCATCCTGCGACAATATCTGTAATACCATCAAACATCCACATCTGCCTATCCCAGGTCCTGGATAAGGACTCGATAGGTAGACAAAAATGCCAAATCCAGTCTGAACATCTGGCTGACCGTGCGATAATCCATAATAATAATAAAGTTGGAAGTGAGCTTGGAGGTCATCTAGTCCAACCCCCTGCTCAGGCAGGAAACCCTATACCATTTCAGACAAATGGCCGTCCACTCTCTTCTTAAAAACTTCCAGTGTTGGAGCATTCACCGCTTCTGGAGGCAGGTTGTTCCACTGGTTAATTGTTCTCACTGTCAGGAAATTTCTCCTTAGTTCTAGATTGCTTCTCTTTGGACAGTGTCCATCTGTTGCTTCTTGTCCTGCCTTCAGGCGCTTTGGAGAATAGCTTGACTCCCTCTTCTTTGGGGCAACCCCTGAGATACTGGAAGACTGCTATCATGTTCCCCCTTGTCCTTCTCTTCATTAAACTAGACATACCCAATTCCAGCAACCGTTCCTTATACGTTTTAGCCTCCAGCCCCCTGATCATCTTTGTTCCTCTTATCTGCACTCTTGTTAGAGTCTCAACACCTTTTTTACATCGTGGTGACCAAAACTGGATTTTAAAATGGATTGAAAAAGAAATCAGCTTAATATCCCTTTAAGGGGTATTTTTAGAAAGTAAAACTTACCTTCATAAAAGCAGAATTCAGGGCCTGCCTTATTTATAACCCTCGCGAGTTTGCCATGCCAAAGTGGCTAAGTTTGATCAATTGCATGTTTACCTGTTGTTTAGCTGAATGTAGATCGTTTTTATTTCTGTAATATCACGCCGTTGAACGTGAGGATAATGGCCTAGTCTGCATTTGAGGATTGCTTTCTTTGGAACCCTTTTGTACATTCTTTGAAATTCCATTCTGGGCTGCGAATTTATGCATATCATGTTTAAATACATACGTAAGTAATATACGATTCCTTTTGAGAAAGGCGCCGTGATTCATCCATCATACAAGGGCACCCGGTGTAGTGTCACAACTCACGGTGATTTATTCTGTAAACTCAGTGAAGCAAAGTGGCATTTTCCAGGAGGCCTGGAACAGCTATTTTCTCCAAATGTGCCAGAAATTGGCATTTCTTGATACCTTTAGAAGGTCTGCTCATTTTACAGTGAAGGTCAGTGATCTATGTGTCCATGTCAAACTTCAGCAGTCTCTCTCTCTCTCTCTCTCTCTCTCTCTCTCTCTCTCTCTCTCTCTCTCTCTCTCTCTCTCTCTCTGTTGGTATCATCTATCTATCTGACTGTCCACCTTTCCATTCATCCATCCCTACTTAACTACTCTATCCATCTCTCTCTCATCTGTCTGTCTGTCTGTCTGCCCATCTGTCCATCTATCCATCCATCCTTACTTATCTGCTCTATCCATCTCTTCTCTCATCCATACATCCATCATCTATCTATCTATCTATCTATCTATCTATCTATCTATCTATCTATCTATCTCTATCTGACTGTCCACCTTTCCATCCCTACTTAACTGCTCTATCCATCTCTCTCTCGTCTGTCTATCTATCTATCTATCTATCATCTATCAATCATCTATCTATCTATCTGACTGTCCACCTATCCATCCATCCATCCATTCCTACTTAACTGCTCTATCCATCTCTCTCTCGTCTGTCTGCCTGCCTGCCTGCCTATCTATCTATCTATCTATCTATCTATCTATCTATCTATCTATCTTCTATCTATCATCTATCTATCTGACTGTCCACCTATCCATCCATCCATCCATCCATTCCTACTTAACTGCTCTATCCATCTCTCTCTCGCCTGCCTGCCTGCCTGCCTATCTATCTACCTACCTACCTACCTACCTACCTACCTACCTACCTACCTATCTATCTATCTATCTATCTACACCAGCCATCTCACCAAAGCGACTTTAGGTGGTTTATAACAACAAAGTGACTCTGGGCTCTTTAAATGGGAGAGAACGAAAGCATAGATAAACCCAACAACGACACTAATCTCAGCAAGCAGTAGTGTAGGCCACAGAAGACAAGAGCTATGCTTACGCCACCCCTTGTCTCGATAAATGCATTTCCACAATGGCCTCCACCATGTTTTAAAACTGCAGGAAAGATCTTCCCTCTTATCCATAGCCGGAAGGTTCGGAGTTCAGAGCATCCTTCCCTTGAAGGTCAGGGGCTGTAAGAGCTCAGGTATTCCTGCTTGTTTTGCAACGATGGACTCTGGGACAGAGACTTGAGTGGGTAGGAGCCAAGCCTGAAGAAAGACGCTTTGGAAATAATTTAATAGCAGGGCCATGAAGGATGGCCCTGCTTGCCAGCATCGTTTCTCCTTCCAAGAGGAGAGTCTTCTCCTGTCACTCTTTGGCTGCTCTTGTTGGGGTGATGCATTCCCCCAAGCTGTCTCTGGAAGATCAAAAATAAAGTGCTGGTATGTGCCGTGGAACACTGAATCTGATCGGTCCATGAGTGTGAGGATCCCTTGATTTCTTCACCTGTGCACAGGTGAGAAAGGTGGAGGAGGCAGAGGTGCCAAAGAGTTGCTTGCTTTCAGTTGACAAGTCAAAGAAGCCTTAAGATTATCTCTTCCTCTCTCTCTCTCTCTCTCTCTCTCTCTCTCTCCCCCTTCCTTCCTTCCCTTCCTTCCTTCCTTCCTTCCTTCCTTCCTTCCTTCCTTCCTTCCTTTCTTTCTTTCTCTTTCTCTTTTTTCTCCTTCCCTCTCTCTCTCTCTCCTTCCTTCCTCTTTCTTTCTCTTTTTCTTTCTCCTCCCCTCTCCCCCTTCCTTCCTTCCTTCCTTCCTTTCTTTCTCTCTTTCTCTTCTCCTCTCTCTCTTTCTTCCTTCTTTCTTCCTTTCTCTTTCTCTTTCTTTCTCCTCCCATCTCCCTCCCCCTTCCTTCCTTCCTTCCTTCTGTCCTTCCTTCCTTTCTCTCTTTCTTTCTCTTTCTCCTCCCCTTTCTTTCTTTCTTTCTTTCTTTCTTTCTTTCTTTCTTTCTTTCTTTCTTTCTTTCTTTCTCCTCTGACTCCTCTTTATCTGATTGTGAACCATTCACTGGAACAAATCCACTTCTTCTTCCTGCCATCCCCATCCCCGGAGCAGAGAAGGAAGGTAGAAGATGAGAAGGGAAAACGGTGGCTGGGAGGCTCAGCTGGGGATTGAAGCAGATGCTCCGTGCCTCTCTAGGGGTTTTGCACAGTTAAACTTGCTGAGTAGTCAGGTTTTTTGAGTCGGATTCCAAACCAGATTTAAAGCATACACATCTCACTCCGAATTATGGAGAGAAGCTCGATGTAGCTCTATCTGGGCATTCTTTAATATTCAAGGAAAGCTCTTTCGCTTCTTACAAGGAAAAATATTAGTAGGAATGTTAACGTTATTATCTTCTTTTCTGCTGAAGAATGGAAACCGCTCTCCTGCATAAAAGCAGACATAATGGCTGTTGAGACCTTGTAAATTGCAGCCCGGGAAACTAATGAATTATACATATTGCAATAAGGATGACAATGAAAGCTTCCTCTGACTCCTTCTTCCTTCCTTCCTTCCTCCTTGCTTTCTTCATTTATTTATGTTTTAACTTTCCTATTCATCAAAACTTCCTGCTTAGTTTATTTCAGGATGTTAAAAAAAACCAAATCCAAACTTATTATTGTGACCCAACCGGTTCCTTTGTAGGGTGATGGACTTGGAAGCGACCACCTTTTTACATTTTACTGTAGGCTCTGCTAATATAATCCAGGTTCATTCAGGGCACAAAGTCATTTGGAAAGAAAGAGAACTAATCTCTCTGCGGTGGGGGTTTTGTGGCAACGCACTGAAGCCAAGACACAGAAATACACAAATTTGGCAGGTGGCTGTGGTTTTGTCTTGGCCGGAAAATGTGCCAACGACGGGCGCTGGGATTCTTGCATTATTAAGCCGTGGTTCATTTAATCCTGGCTTTGCATAAACCATAAAGCCTACTGCAAGGGGCGTCTTGCCGCCAGCTGTGAAACTGGGAGCTGTCCAACGTTGGAATTCCGTGACCACCTCAAATAATAAACACATGGATGGGACAACCTCCCATCCTGGATAACTATATCGGACAGGCTTTTCGCTGTTCGTGAGCAAGCTGGTGGCTCTGGCAATGATCTAGCTGGGCATCTATAAGCCAGGTTGGTAAGGATCATGGTCAGGACACAACATGGTCAAGACATGCTCCAAGCAGCCTCCACCATCCACTCACTCCTGCTGCCCCAGGTGATCCTATGACTGCTCCCACTTAGCTAGTCCTCGACCTACAAGCACTTTCTGTAAGGTTGCCTACCCCTGTCCTATACCATTCCAGACAAATGGTTGTCCAATCTCTTCTTATAAACTTCCAGGGTTGGAGCAACCACGACTTCTAAAGGCAGGTTGTTCCACTGGTTGATTGTTCTCACTGTCAGGAAATTTCTCCTTAGTTCTAGGTTGCTTCTCTCCTTGGTTAGTTTCCATCTGTTGCTCCTTGTCCTGCCTTCAGGTGCTTTGGAGAATAGCTTGACTCCCTCTTCCTTGTGGCAGCCTCTGAGATACTGGAAGACTGCTAACATGTCCCCCCTTGTCCTTCTTTTCATTAAACCCGAGACTTTCGTTAAAATAAACAACTCATCCACTACTGTGGTTGCTTTCTCGACAGGAGTTACGAGGATCCCATCGAGAGCGAAATCGTTGAGCGGATCCCGTACTTGCACGGCAGCTACGCGGCGCCTTTGGCGCAGCCCGAAAGGGGCAGCATGGCCAGCATCGACCGCCTGGGCAAGCGCTCCCCCTCCATTGACAGCATCCGCAAAGACCCCCGGTGGCGCGACCCGGATCTGCCCGAAGTCATCGCCATGCTCAGCCACCCCATCGATCCCGTGAAATCGAACGCCGCAGCCTACCTCCAGCACCTCTGCTACGAGAATGATAAGATCAAGAAGGACGTGAGGCATCTCAAGGGCATTCCCATCCTGGTGGGTCTTCTGGACCATCCTAAGCCTGAGGTCCACCGCAAAGCATGTGGGGCCCTCCGGAACATATCCTATGGGAAGGACAATGAGAACAAAGTGGCCATCAAGAACTGTGATGGGATACCGGCTTTGATCAGGTTGTTGCGCAAGACGAGTGATATGGAAGTACGAGAACTCATTACAGGTCAGTGGGTGGTTCGTCTTCTCCTTTTCTTCCCCTTCCCCTTCCCCTTTTCCTTCTCCTCCTTCTCCTCCTTTCCCCCTTCCCCTTCTCCTGCTCCTCTCCCCCTCCTCCTCCTCTTCCCCTTCCCCTTCTCCTCCTCCACCACTACTACTACTACTACTACTACTACTACTACTTCTTCTTCTTCTTCTTCTTCTTCTTCTTCTTCTTCTTCTTCTTCTTCTTCTTCTTCTTCTTCTTCTTCTTCCTCCTCCTCCTCCTCCTCCTCCTCCTCCTCCTCCTCCTCCTCCTCCTCCATGGTGGACATGTGAAGTGGTGGCTTTGGAGTTCTCTTCAAGTGCCTTTTCCTAGATCAGGGGTCTTCAAACTTGGTCCTTTTATGACTTGTGGACTTCAACTCCCAGAATTCCTCAGCCAGGCACATGTGGAATTCTGGGAGTTGAAGTCCACAAGGCATAAAAGGGCCAAGTTCGAAGACCCCTGTCCTAGATTAAAACTGGGGGCGGTGCAATCAGCAGACTCACGCTGTTCTGTGTTATACTGTCGGTCGGCTCCGCCACAATTCATAACATTTTTGTTTATGCCTCAACTTGGACGTGGTCTCCTGAGGTTCCAAAAGGATCTTATGCTTCCGCTGATCGTTCTCTGATCCTCAGCACGGAGCGGAATGAGAACAAGGAGGCCCTAGAGGAAAGAAAAGAGGATTTGAGAAAGCAGCAGATGGTCTGACTGTTCTCCGAGTGATAAAACGAGGTGTGGCATTTCACTTCCCCATGGAGATCCGGTTGCAGCAAATTCATTGCCCTCCCTTGGAGAACAGCTGGAAAAACTGAGCATCTTAAGTGGCTTCTCTTTCCCCTCCGGGTATTTATCGCAGAGTAATTCTTGGGAGAGTTTGAAAGAGGCTCAGAGCTTGGGGGGCAAAGCAAGCGCCACGTCTGCAGAGCAGAAATTCCATTTCTGGGGCTGCATTGAATTTACAGGGACTCCTTAACCAATGGCCGCAGTTGGGTTGTTAAGGGAGGCAGGCCTGAATTTACAAACTTTTTTTTTTCCCCTGTGGTTGGGAAGTGAATCCATCCCCATGGTCACGTGATCAAAATTCGGCCGCTTGGCAACTGCTCATATTTATGACAGTCACAATGTCCCCAGGTCAGGGACCTTTTGGGACCTTTTGGGACCTTTTGGGACCTTCAGACAAGAAAAGTCAAGGGGGAAAATGGATTTACTTAACAACTGTGTGACTAATTTGACAACTGCAAAGATTCCCTTAACAATTATGGAAGAGAAGAGGAGAGGAGAGGAAAGAAGAGAAGAAAAGAAAAGAAAAGAAAAGAAAAGAGGAGAGGAGAGGAGAGGAAAGAAGAGAATTAAAGTAAGGTAGGGTAGAGTAGAGTAGAGTAGAATGGAATGGGAATGGAATGGAATGAATAGAATAGAAAATATGGAATAGAATAGAAATAGAATAGAAATAGGAATAGAATAGAATAGAATATAGAATAGAATAGAATAGAATAGAATAGAATAGAATAGAATAGAATAGAATAGAATAGAATAGAATAGAACAGAACAGAGCTGGAAGGGACCTTGGAGGTCTTCTAGTCCAGCCACCTGCTCAAGCAGGAGAACATACCCATCTCAGACAAGTTACTGTCCAGCCTCTTCTCAAAAACCTCCAGTGATGGAGCGCCCACGATTTCTGGTGGCCAGCTGTTCCACTGGCTAATTGTCCTCACTGTCAGGAAGTTTCTCCTTAATTCTAGATTGCTTCTCTCTTTGACCAGTTTCCATCCATTGTTTCTTGTCCTTCCCTCTGGTGCTTTGGAGAATAGTTTGACCCCCTCTTTGTGGCAACCTCCCAAGTTTTGGAACACTGCTATCATGTCGCCCCTGTTTCTTCTTTTCTTTAACTAGCCAAACCCAAGTCCCGCAGCCGTTCTTTGTATGTTTTAGCCTCCAAGCCTTTGATCATCTTAGTTGCTCTTCTCTGAATTAGTATGACCAACTTGGTTTCTTGACAATCTCCTCTATCTCGGTGTGTGTTGACTGACCCAGTTAGCAAAAACAATGACTTCACACCCTTGTTACACCAAGCAACCTTTTTAAACATGGTTTGTTAAACAAACCCTAGTGGGATGGCGTGAACATTACCCTAAGCTGACCGCAAGTTCTCTATGCGTTTGAAAAATGACCACTCGTTTCTCTACTTTGCAAAAAAATGAATAAATGCAGCCCATGTTTTGCAAGAAGCATTGATCAAATTGATTTTCCGAGCGATTTGAAAACCAATCGGTTATTTTAATTGCCGTGAGTCTCCACAGCACGTTACAAAGGCAAACATTTGGATAAATCTTTGCATTACCGGGCCTGCAAATTGAATATAGAATGCAGCACCTCCTCGTTCTCGAATTGTGCTTGGCAATTACAATCTTCAAATAATAATCATAATAACCTTGTGGTTGGTTTTTTGTTGTTTTTTTTTTTTTTGCTCCTGAATTTGAGGCTTGCAGTAGTTGGTTTTGAAATGCATTGGGTTGGAAATGTTCAGCCCTTTACGATAACTGCCTGGGAAGAAATCAAAGTTAATTGGCTGGTTGGTGTGCAGACTGGTTTTTTGTGCATTTCTTGAGAAGTAATCTGTGTGACGCTGAGCCTGCAGCAGCAATAGTTTTTTTCCAATTCTTGTCATCTCACCATTCACTGGCCAGAGAACAGAATAACAAATGGAAGGGACCTTCGAGATCTTCTAGTCCAACCCCCAGCTCAAGCAGGAGACCCTATATTATTTCAGACAAATGGCTGTCCAGGCTCTTCTTAAAAACCTCCAGTGTTGGAACATTCACAACTTCTGGAGGCAAGTAGTTCCACTGGTTAATTGTTCTAACGGTCAGGAAGTTTCTCCGTGGGATGCAGGCAGCACACAAAACCACGCACTCTCCGGTCTGTGGAAAAACCTCTCTCCACGGAACTGGTACCTGGTGCCCACAAGGTTGGGGATCTCTGTTTTAAATCATCCAAGATGTCTTTGCCCTTTCTGGCTCTGGAGCTGAAGTGCCACTTAAAGCATTGGGCAGTTGAAGATAAAATTCCTGTGAGGACTTGTTTGTTTTAACGATACTCCTGTAAGGATTGAATGCGGTTGCCCTGGGGATGAGGGAAGGCGTTGAATCCTAAATATAAATTTCAATCCAGATTAGGAAATTTCAGGAAAATTTCATTTTTCTTTCCCTTCTGGTTTTCATGTTTTGTTTGCTGGGGGTAATTTTGAGTTTTGATAGAAGGGAATATTTGTAACCCAGGGTTCAACTGTGAGGTCCTTAGTGCTCTCTGAGCTTGGTGGTTTTCTTGCAGAAGTTTCATTATCCATCTAGAGAACATCATCAGTGTTAGAAGGGGTGGAATTTATGGAGAGGAGGGAGGGAGGGAGGGAGGGAGGGAAGGAAAGAAGGAAGGAAGGAAGGAAGGAAGGAAGGAAGGAAGGAAGGAAGGAAGGAAGGAAGGAAGGAAGGATTATAGGGTCCTTGGTGCTTTCTGAGCTTGATGGTTTTCTTGCAGATGTTTCATTATCCAACTAGGGAACATCATCAGTGTTAGGTGGAATTTATGGAAGGGAGGGAAGAAAGGAAGGAAAGAAAGGAAAGGAAAGGAAAGGAAAGGAAGGATTGGTGCTTTCTGAGCTTGGCGGTTTTCTTGCAGATATTTCATTATCCAACTAGGGAAAATCATCAGTGTTAGAAGGGGTGGAATTTATGGAGAGGAGGGAGGGAAGGAAGGAAGGACTATAGGGTCCTTGATGCTTTTTGAGCTTGATGGTTTTCTTGCAGATGTTTCATTATCCAACTAGGGAACATCATCAGTGCTAGAAGGGGGTGGGTTTGTGGAAAAGGAGGACGACTGTGGGGTCTTGGGTGCTCTCTCAGCGTGACTGTTTGCTTGCAAACATCATCGTTATCAATGTCTTGTTTCCTTTTTGGCGTTTTGATTGCTTTTGATTGTCTCTTTTTTGAATGGTGTGTAGATCTCTACGTGCCTGTTGATGGTCAATTTGTCTGAGTGCCCAAAGGACTGTTCTGTTTGGATCGCAATATTTGAATCACATTGCATTCCCTTTGCAACTTGACCCACACTGCAAACCTAGAGCCAGTGGAATCTAAGTGGTTAAGGCACCAAACTAGAACTTGGGAGATCATGAATTCAAATCCTCTTTTAGCCATGAAAGCCAACTGACAACTCTCAACACAACCCACTTCACGGGATTGTTGTGAGGAAAAATAAGAGGAGCAAGGTGTGCTGGATATGTGTGCCACCTTGAGTTATTTGTAAAAAATAATAAAGATGGGAAACAAACAAACACCTAAGCCTAGGTATGGTTTTTGGTCATTTCTATTGACTGTTTTTCACTCTTTCCTCCTATTCAAGGAACCCTTTGGAACCTGTCATCTTACGAACCCCTCAAAATGGTGATCATTAACCATGGCCTTCAGACGCTGACCAATGAGGTCATCATCCCTCATTCGGGGTGGGAAAACGAGCCGAACGAAGATTCGAAACCTAGAGATGCGGAATGGAGTACAGTCTTCAAGAATACGTCGGGATGTCTGAGGTGAGAAACGGGGCCCATACAATGTCGCCAAAGGGCCAAAGGATTCAGGGAAACAAAGCAGAAATTGCATTCAGCTACGCGGAACCATCTGTTGTATAGTGGGTGCTGGTGGGATACTTGGCTAAATTCAGCATACCTGGCTTGGTGTAAAATAGTTGTCTGTGCTTGTAGAGCAACAGTCTTACTGTCACCAATCCAACTAGCGGACCCAACAAAAGGAATCCGGCAATTACATCCCAGTGAGCAAAAATTTTATTGGGTACAGCATCTCAGAACTGAAGAAGTAAAATCAGCTCTGAGTTTTCCCGCGCGAAAGCTTGCTTGGTTAAAAGATAAATTCCCATGCCCCCATCCCCTGGAGTATTCACATTGTCCAATAGTACTATTTTGTTTTGTTACGGGAACGGTTCACTTCTCCATCGAGCACCTGCGGCAGTGACCTTGGCGGGGTGCAGGCTTTCACGGTCCATGAATGGCTTCTTGGCATTCCATTCCATTCCATAAGTCTATCTGCCTGCCTGCCTGCCTGCCTGCCTCTATCTATCTATCTATCTATCTATCTATCTATCTATCTATCTATCTATCTATTTATCTTCTATCCATCCATCCATCCATCCCAGAGGTCTCCATCCTCTTGGGCACCAGGGACAGTTCCATGGAGAGAGGTTTTTCTGCAGACCAGAGGGTGCATGGTTTTGTGTACTGCCTGCATCTCACGGATGGGGATTTTGCTTGTTTGTGTGGCCAGTTGCTGACATGCTGCGGCCCAATACTGATCCACAGGCCGGGAATTGACAGCCCCTGATCTATCCTATCATCTCTCTCTCTATATATATATACATTATCTGTCCATTCATCTACCTTTTTTATACATCCATCAATCTCTGTCACATGTCTGTCTGTCTATCAATTATCTATCTCTACCTATCTATCTCCATTCTCTATCCATTCATCCAGCTCTATTATAAAGCCATCCATCTCGGTCCATCCATATCCGTTTGTCCGTCTGTCTTATCATCTCCCATCCATCCATCCATCCATCCATCCATTGCATTTTTTCCTGGATCTTTGAACCAACCAGCAGCATGTCTGGATATGTGCAGCAAGAAATAGAGTGGTGCTAGTAGAGGGGGGGGGGAGAAAGATTGACCTCATTTTCAGACATTCTGTTTTACGTTTGATCAGTTTTTTAGGCCGATATAAATAAAGCAGAGAAAATGAAATGAATCACTCAGCATGTACTTTATGTGCCTCCATCGCTCGGCATCCAGGCATCCTATAATAATAGAGATTTGTAAATGCTGACGGAGCAGTGACAAATGTTGATTGATCATCCATGCAAGAAACAAATAGATGGGTATTTTTAACGTCTTCTTGAACGGAGACAAATTCCTGGTGGGAAAAAAATAAGTGAAAAGCACAGAAAAACCAAAGAAAGCAGCGAGAAGGGGAAAGGGATGGAATACATACATATAAATGTATACATCACAGTGTAAAAGTGAAAAGAAGGACTAGGGGAGACATGAGTCCAGTGTTCCAATATTTGAGGGGCTGCCACAAAGAAGAGGGGGGGGGTCAACTGATTTTCCAAAGCACCTGAAGGGAGAACAAGAAGCAATGGATGGAAACTAATCAAGGAGAGAAGCAACCTGGAACTAAGGAGAAACTTCCTAACAGTTAGAACAATTAACCAGTGGAACAGCCTGCCTCCAGAAGCGGTGAATGCTCCGACACTGGAAGCTTTTAAGAAGAGACTGGACAGCCATTTGTCTGAAATGGTATAGGGTTTCCTGCCTGAGCAGGGGGTTGGACTAGATGACCTCCACGCTCCCTTCCAGCTCTGTTATTCTGTTAATTCCTCCCTCATCTGCATTGCTACTTTTCTTTTTAAAAATATTGTTGTTGTTATCGCTGTTGTATAAACTTGACACCGAGGTGAGGGCTGACGTGAACATTCCAAAGACAAGTGTGTCCTGCAATCTTGAGAACTAGCTTTCCTGAAACTTTTTAACACCTTGCCAAACTTAATTGTGTTATTTTTGGCTTCCTGTTGCTGAACGTTAAAGGCTTCCTAAATAGGCGCGTTGCTAGCATAGCAAGCTTTAGAAATGTGCCGTAGCAAAAGCAGCTTATATTTATGAGATCCTGAGTGCCTTTTGCTTTGGGACATATAAATGTTCACTCAGAGAGACTTCCTGGGATATGGAGGTGGGATTGGGCAGGAGTCCACCCCCCCCCATTCCTGGGGCATCACCTGGAAATTTGGCACTGAAAAACTGCCAACCAACATCTTGAAGAGGCTATGGCCATACCTGAATAAGAAAACTTGCCACCAGCCAGATTAGCAAAAATGTTTTAAAAATATCTCAGATGGATGTTGGAAATGTAAACATAAGTCAGGTATTCATGATCATGTATGGTGGACATGCGTTGAAGCAAAGAGGTACTGGACAAAAATACATACTTGGCTAGAAAAGATGTTGGGAAAACATGCAGATTTTAAACCTGAACTTTTTTTTATTAATATTATTCCAGAAAAGATTGATAAACCAAGTATAATATTTGACTTTATATGTGATAACAGCGGCAAGAATCCTATTTGCACAATATTGGAAAAGGGGAGAATTACCACCAGAGGAAGAAATCATTACAAAAATATTAGAAGGTGCAGAAATGGACACGCTTACTGTGAGGCTGAAAGATAAAGAAGAAACAGAATACTATCAGAATTGGGACTTGTTTTACCAATGGCTGGCAATAAAGAACAAAGGATTGGGAGTTAAATTTGTATTAGTGAATGATAAACTCAGACAACACGTTTGTTGAACAAGTACTATTGAATTGTATGAGAAAAATAAATAAAAAATTTACAAATGAAAAAAAAAAGAGAATTTGCAGATGTGTGGATTTCAACTTTCAGAATTCTTAGCATTGGCCATCCCAGTAGATTCTTCTGGGAGTTGCAAGTCCACTCATCTGCAAGTTCCCAAGATGGAGAAACACCGTTGTGTTGTATTTGCATATTTGGGCTCAATTGTGGCTGTAAGTCAAGGACTACCTTCAGATTCAAATCGAACAAGATTTCCAGGAAATTGAGAGTTGTTGTTAGTTGCAAAGTCATGTCCGACCCATCGCGACCCCATGGACAATGTTCCTCCAGGCCTTTTTGTCCTCTACCATCTTCTGGAGTCCCTTTAAGCTCACGCCTGCTGCTTCAGTGACTCCATCCAGCCACCTCCTTCTCTGTCATCCCCTTCTTCTCTTGCCCTCCATCTTTCCTAGCATCAGGCTCTTCTCCAGTGAGTCCTTCCTTCTCATTAGGTGGCCAAACTACCTGAGTTTCAACTTCAGGATCTGGCCTTCTAAAGAGCAGTTGGGGTTGATATCCTCTAGGACTGACCGGTTGGATCGCCTTGCAGTCCAGAGCTGGAAACAATTCTGCATTTCTCCTTCACCTTGAGAAACTTTTGCGTACAGCCTATTAAAAAAAATATGTTTTCTTTCCGGCTTTGGTTTCCAGGTCTCTTCCAATTGTTCAGCTTTTACGAGAAGGGCTAATAGTTCAGACCAAGGTAATAAAAAGAACTGTATTAAACCTTCTCCAGGCTGGAGTGAACTCCAGCCCCGTTTCCATTGATTAATATGGGCCTGCCGAATCTCTTGTTCATTTCCATGCTTGGGACTTTTCAGCCGAGAAGCTTCTCCTGGGAATCCCTTTGTAAAGGCAGAAAGTAATGAAGACTGTTCGACGGTGCCTAGTTGCTGGAATAATCATTAACCCCTGAAGGAAGACGCAGCCTTCCATGTAGGATCCAGGCGTAGTACTTTATTTAATTTTTTTTAGAAGGATGTACCAGACTTGCTCGGAGCTGAGAAATCATTAGAAGTGACCTTTTTTGCTTTCTGAATTTAGGGCTCTGGTTCCTACAGATGGTTAAGGAGCTCAGGAATAGATCTGATTATTTCCCCCCCCCCCATTGCAGGATTTTGTGCTGGCCTCCAACAGAACCAGGTGATCAACCACAAAAAAGGAATCCGCCCATTTCCTTGCATAGCAGAGGATGGAACAGAACAGAACAGAATAGTGGAATGGAGAATAGAATAGAATAGAATAGAATAGAATGGAATGGAATGGAATGGAATGGAATGGAATGGAATGGAATGGAATAGAATAGAATAGAATAATAGAAAATAGAAAATCAAGTGAAACGCCTACCAAGTTTCTCCTTGGAAGGGAAAAAACCACAGCCACTGGCACTGGTGATGTTGCCTGGTTGGGTAATGAAACGTCTGCAAGAAACCCACCAAGCTCAGAGAGCACCAAGGACCCCACAGTTCAACCCTGAGCGACCAATATTTTCTCCTGTTGGAAGGTACTTTAATTTGGATTTTGCCTTGAATTAGAAAGGCCTTGGTGATCCCTTCCAGTGCTCTGATTTTCCAGCTGTCATACGGTTTCCTGTAGATGGATATAATCTTGATGGCATCTTGAGCAAAACTGAACATAGTTAGCTGATCCTCCGGCCCACTTCCCTGTGGTTTGTCCCTGTGACTTGTGCATGAGGAATAATCTTCTCTGTAAGAACTCCAGACTGTCAGATCGGTTAGTGTTGATGTTCCTGTGGTGTGAAGCTCTAAACATGCCACCAACATGGTGGACGCCAGCTGAGAATAAATTTTGCAGTCATATGTTTGTCCTTTACACGGTTTGCCAACATAGCATTGGAGCTAAAAACCCAAGGTTTAAGGAAGAATGGTAAAGATAAAGGTAAAGTTGCTTTGAAGCTTCGGATAAACAAAATATATAGTTCATTTGGGCCTTGCTGGAGACTTCCATTCTCTTTTGATCACGGGCGAGAAAAGCTTTGATGCAATTAAGTAGGGATACCAGAGCTGAGTTTCAAAGCTCAAGGTTGTTAGAAACATATTCTCCATAACTTATTGATGGCGCTTCACAGCACGCCTGTACAACTCACAACAGCAGCTGCTGCCGTTCCAGA